GAGTACTTTCCGTACCCACTGTAAATATGTCGTCAATTGATATCTGCAAGTGCAATAATAGGCCTATGTCTCAGTAAGATATTTTGATATTTTTTATATTTAAATGTACAAATAAACATTCCTCAAAAAGCATTTTGTATCATATTTGATACATATTAACATATTAACAACTTGAAAAAAAAAAAGTATGGATGATTAAGTAAAGTTTTGCTTCAATCCAGTAAGTGTTCGTCTTGAAATATTAATAATAATATAAAAGTCATGCTTTTGTTTACTTCAAAAAAAAAATCATTGGATATTTCACAGCAAAAAATAATTACTTGAAGGCCTCTTATACTTGTTAAAAAAGTATTAACTATCAATCAGACGACAGAGAGCATGTAGTAGATTGTGTACAACAGGTTTCTCAGCAAAGTTATAATTATGTTGAAAATTTAGAGGCCTTACAAATTCATGTAATTCATGTAAATTCGTCAAATATTATACAGTAGGCTTTATAGGGATAAAGAATGTTTCAAATGTTTTTGTGAAGAAACATTGCACCACAATGGAAAGAAAAAGAAAAAGCATTCGACAGAAGAAAGTCATACGGGAACATGAGGATGAGTAAAGCGATGCCAAAATGTCATTTTTTGTGTGAACTGTACTTTTAAGTAAACCTGCCAAAGCAAACAGGCATAAAATGAAAAAAGTACAATGACACAGTCTGTTTGACACTACAGAACTTTACTTGAATTAAATCCAAGTTCATTGTCTATACAAGATATTTACAATGTCTGAAATAGGGGAAATAAACAATAAAACACTAGATACAACTGAGGTATTAGCTAAAAGCATGTACATGTATTTAACTCGTAAATATCGATCATGATAACCAGTTTGAGATGTGTCATCTGCTTTAGAAAACATCTTATCACAACATGAGGTAGGAGAGCAATGTCTCATTTTCATGCAAGAGCAAAAAACCTCTCATCACACTGTAGGATTGGCAACATATGCAATGATACACACAAACACTGCATTTCATATCTCAGAATTGCAACTTAAAATATCTTTGCTGTTTACGAAAGTCATAAACAATGACATTGTTTCTATTACAGTGTTGATTGTGTTCTCAAAAAAAAAAAAAGCTTCACATCTGATTTTTTTTTTTCCTTTTCTTTAATAGTGACATCTCGGTTACACATGAGAAAAGATGTGATTAAGAACATAGGGACACATGCTGTGCTGGCAGGTAGTTATTTGTATACTATGTGTATTTTTACCATTATAAAAAAAATTGTTTATTTAATTGCAATTTTCTTTTCTCTTTTGCCATTAATCAGCTCAAGGGAGCCACAGTAATCATTATCCCCTGTTAAATGGGATATTTCCTCTATAATGTAAAATACATGGTAGCTTTGCTGAAAAACTCTAGCATTAGATTGCTTTAAAGTACAATTTTGCTAATTATATTATACCAGGCCTATACATATCAGATATTCAACATATTTCACACGTCTCGAATATGTACAACGTTATCTGTATTTATTTTCTTAACACTGCAAAAGACAAAAACAGGTTTGTTGTTTCAAGAGTCTAAAGAGTACTGTATTCCTATGCCCAGAATTCAAATTTAACATGGCATTCTACATAGAAGATATACAGCGCCCCCCTGTGTACAAAATGCAATTTACAGGTTTCATAGAATCGTTACAAATGAAAAGGTATCCTCTAGAAAGCTTCAGAAATACATTTTAATACCCAAAACTATCAAAAACAGCATTGAAACCGGCTGCTACAGAGGTAACTGTGGTGAAAACAAAAGAAACCTAATACTGATTGTACAGAAATTGTAGTCGACACTGTAGTAATGCATTACTGTGCCAAAACAAATGCTACAATCTCTCAAAAGAACTACACATGAAATCAAAGCTATATATATATATATATATATATATATATATATATATATAAAAAACATCGCTCTTTTCAGTACACACACAGTCTCTCATATCAAATGTTTCTAGCATCTATATTAGGCTCTTGAGCACATTTTGTGCCCATTTACATAAAGACTATTTTTCTCAGACAATATGGAGTAACGTTTTTGGAAAGGTTGTATGTGTGAGAGAATAGAAAAAAATCATTTCTGCATTTTAGCAATAATGAATCTGTGTTTTAGCATAACAGTATAGTAGCTAACAATACATGCATTATTTCACTCCCTTCTTTCTAAGAATTTTAAATTCTTAATTTTTTTAATATATTTATATATATATATATATGTGTGTGTGTGTATATA